CAAGTAGCTAGGCAGTGCCCACCTGTGGCTCATTCCTGGGCTTGGTGGAGGTGGTGTAAATCCCACCATCTCCTCTTCTAGAGGTCTGGCCTTGGCGAGATGCTCACACTCTGTGAGCCTCGGGGTCCTCATCTGTAAACTGGGCATGATCATGGTTCACACTGCACTTGGCAGCATCGGGGTGAACCAAGGTGAGCTGGCGAGGGGCCGGCTCCTGGGAGGTGTACAGTGGCCATGATCAGGACGATGCCTGCACTGGGACCCGGGGATCCCCTTGGCTGGTCCCCAGTCCATCTGTCACAGACAAGACATCACGGCAATTCCAGTTCGGCAACAGAGTTTATTGAGGCGCCCCTGCGGGTCTGATCCTGGCCCTCATTCCTCTTTCTCATCTCCGTGGGTGATGATGTAGCACAGGGACTTATAGTCGATGTTCCCTTCCAGGTCCATGGGCGTCAGGGCAAACATCTGCTCCACCTGGGGGAGGCACTGGTGAGGGGCCTCCCCCTGGCTCCTGGCCCAGCCCAGCAGAGACCTACCCTGAGTCTTGCGGCCCTTCTGTCTGCCCTCTGCACCTGTGCTGTATGCCTTAGCTTTTCAACCCCAGACTCCAGACTCTGCGTTACGGTTTTTCTGTTGGCTGACTCTGGGCAGAGTGAGGAGTCCGTACAAACTAGGGCCAAGGGGCAAAGAGCGTCCCTCCAGCCACAGGCACAGGCCCACCCCAAGTGTCTGAAACCTCTCCTAATGTGCTTCCCACCCCCACCCCCAGGGCTATGCACAGTCTCCCTGCCTGCAGGGACAGCAGCACACCGTGCTCTCTTTTCTGACTCCACATCTTTACCTTCTAGGTCTCAACAGAGATGGCACCTCCTCCAGAAAGTCCCCCTGGGTCACCCTTTCAGCAACTGCCTCACTGGTACTGGTTATGGGTGAGGGCCCAGAGAAGGTGCTGGGGATGGGTATTGAAGGCACTGGGCAGCCTCACCTCAGCCGGAGAGAACTTGTCTGCCTGGGTCAGGAGAAGCTGCTTGAACCTGGGGGGAGTGAGGAGGGTCTGAGGAGGAGACTGCAGGGGAGTGACTGCACAGGGAAGGTGGGTACGGAGGCTCCCATGGTGCAGGGAAGAGCTGGCTGCACCCCAGGGAGCAGTGAAGGCCCCGAAGTACCGGCAGCCCCCCTCACAAGGGGCCTCATTCCCCTCTCTGCTTCCACCACTGTGCCCCTCATCATGCTGGGCCCACACTTACTCATCCTTGTTCACTACCCCTTTGCCGCTGGGGTCGAACATGCGGAAGGCACTCAGGATGGCTTCCTCGGGGTCTGTCCCTGGGAGGTCAAGGCAGGAAGGTGAGCATCCATGTGTCCTCCATTCCAGGTCCCACCCAGCAGGAACAGGGCTGTAAGAGGAGCCCCCCCCACCGCACCCCTGCCCCACATCCCAGGAGAGGTAGGGCCATTCCCTAATATAAATTGTTTCTCGGGGATCTGTGGGGTGGGGAATAATCATTCTCCCGAGGCGGGCAGCCTGGCCGGGAGATTGGAATTTGAGAGTGGAGGCTGAAGGCACATTTCCTGGCCCCAAGTCAGCACTGGGGTGACCAGTGCACATGAGATTCTGGGGCAGAGGATGTGCAGGGGCGGGACCCACATGCTTTGAATGGGCCATGGCCAGGAAGCATCCAGGTGGGTCCAGTAGAGTTCGGTTAGGGTTCAGATGGGGTTCAGGCAGGGTGCAGACTTGCTGCATGGCTAAGGGTGCCCAGCTCTGTCCCAGGCTCACCATTGAGCTTCTCCCCAAAGAGCGTGAGGAAGACAGTGAAGTTGATGGGGCCCTTGCCCTCCTGCAGCATGGCATCCAGCTCCTCCTCTGGGACACTCACTTTCCCTGGTGGGGGTGGGGAATGAGGTGCACACAGAGACCCTGGGTGTTCCCCAGAAGGGCCCAGGCTGCCCTCCCTCCCTCCTGGTCATAGGGCCTGGGGAGGTGAAATTGAAGGAAGGTGTGACAAAAGGGGAAAGGCAGTGTGAGGAGATGGGGAGGAGGGGAAGCAGGGGACCAGGGTGCTGTCCCCTCAGCTACTCCCACCCACCCTGCAGCTCCAAGCAAGGGCCCCAGTGTGTAGGGTGGGGCCGGGTAGGAGGTGGGTGCACACACCTAACTGGGAGTAGGTCTCCCTGAGGTCTGCCTTGCAGATGATTCCATCACGATTCTGGTCGATGCAGCTGAAGGCCTATGGATGGGGGCCTTCAGGAGGGAGCAGCCCCCAGCTCTAGGGAAGGTGGGAGTCGGGGAAGAGGCCTGGGCGATGTGAGGGGCAAGGTCAGGGTAGAAGTGGGGTATGTATGTGGAGTGTGTATGTGGGGTGGGGTCGGGGGCCCAGGACGGGGAACGAGGCTGCTGGGAGTGGGCACTCACCTCCTTGAACTCCTGGATCTGGGCTTGTTCAAACATGGAAAAGACGTTGGAAGAACCACGTTGGGCCTGCTTGGTGGCTGCCACTTTGCCCCGGGTCCCCGCCTTCCTGCTGGCCTGCAACACCGTGCTTGGGGAGGGGTCTTCTCCCCAACTCCTTAAAGTCTCCCCACCCTACCCATCATGCACAACCCCAGAGCATTCCCAGAAGAGTCAGGGTCAGGATCCTCTTCCTCTCTCTGGGGACCACCCTGAACCCAGTGTAAGCACAGAAAACTCTGCTACCCCAGCCCAAAGTCCAGCACCTGGGAGACCACCAGCCTTTCTTCCCTGGCAGGCACTCACCATTCTCTCTGCAGAGGTGTGGCTGCTGTCGTGGGGGCAGGGGCCAGCCTCCTTTATGTCTCGGCCTTATCACCTGAAGGTCCAAATAAGGAGAGGAACAGAGGACAGGCCCAAACTTGGCAGCCCCTGCGTGGGCTGGGGGTGGACGAAGGCCCTAATAGATTCCAGCCACATTCCTGATGACCTTCATGTCCTCAATGTGTAGCATCCTGGTATCTATCCATCCTGGCAGGGCTAAGTGCAACGTCTGCCCAGAGCAGAGCAGGCTCGCTCTCACCACCCTGGGTGCTGATGAAGGGATCCAGTTACCCCCATATCTGACTACCCTTCCTTGCTGGTCCAGTCAGAACACTAGCCAGTGCAAGAGGACAGCTGGGGAGGGCCAGTCCACGGTGCCCGCCAGGCTTGGGAGGGCAGCGGGTAGTTCTGAAGACCTGTGGCCTGAGACCCCCCAAGGGTTTCCCAGAGGTTTTGGTGACCCTAGCTCTGTCCTTTCCCACTCTGACCAAGGGGCAGAAGGCATCCCTGAGCTAGCTGTGACCCCAGGCAGAACACTGCTTGGCTTTGGGGCAGTTCTACAGGGTGAAGGAGCTCCATCAGCTGCCCTCCCATGCAGTCTGCCCGGCCCCGAGTCTGCTCTGCTGTTTGGAGCCTTGCCTTTCTCAAGCCCCATCTCAATCACACTCTTTTAAAAAGCTCTTCCTAACATCCTCAGTGGGGAGCTTCTGGAGCATGTTTCCCATTTGCCTGGTGGCTGCTGTGTTTGTCATTTCTGGCTTCTGTGCTCCTCCTGAGCATCCAGCCGGGTTGTCCCCTGCATCCCCAGAAGGCCTGGTACGCAGCGGGCTGCAGATAGGCAGGCCTGCATGGTGCTATTCCAAGAAGCAGCCTCACCAGCTTCTGGGGTTGAGGGCACCACAGAAGGGCTGGTGAAGCAGGGGACATCCTGGAGGCAGCAGGAGCGGGCCACCCCAGGCTGGGCTCACTGGCCACTCCAGCTCCCCTGGGGCCAGACCCATGTCTATCAGTAGCTGGCTGGTAAAGGGCCAGAGCTCTCATCTGTCAGACGCAATGCCCTTTTTATACAAGGGTTTTCTTTTAAATTTCTTAAATTCTTTTTTTTTTTTTTTTTTTGAGACAGAGTCTCACTCTTGCACAGGCTGGAGTGCACTGGCATGATCTTGGCTCACTATAGCCTCCACCTCCCAGGTTCAAGTGATTCTCATTTCTCAGCCTTCCAAGCAGCTAGGATTACAGGCAACTGGCACCACGCACAGCTAATTTCTGTATTTTTTAAAGTAGGTTTTGTCATGTTGGCTAAGCTGGTCTCAAACTCCCGACCTCAAGTTTTCTGCCTGCCTCAGCCTCCCAAAGTGTTGGGATTACCAGTGTGAGCCTCTGACCTCTGTCACCCAGGCTGGAGTGCAATGGCATGAGTGGAGTTCACTGCAGATGATCTCCTGGGCTCAAGCGCTCCTTCCTGCCTCAGCCTCTGGAGTAGTTGGGACTACAGGTGCATACCACCTTGCCCACTGTTTTTCTTCTTTCTTTTTAGAATTAATTAATTTTTTAGACAGAATCTTGCTGCTCTGTTGCCCAGGCTGGAGTGCAGTGGTACAATCTCTGCTCACTGCAACCTCCACCTCCCAGGCTTCAAGTGATTCTCCTGCTTCAGGCTCCCCAGTAGCTGAGATTACAGGCATCCGCCAACACGCCCAGCTAATTTTTGTATTTTTAGTAGAGACAGGGTTTCACCATGTTGGCCAGGCTGGTCCCAAGCTCCTGACCTCATGATGTGCACTTGAGCCTGGCGACAGAGCGAGATTCCATCTCAAAAAAAAAAAAAAAAAAAAAAAATCCAACATATATCTGGGCCCCCACTCACTGTCAAACCTGTGACTCTGACTGGACAGGACAGTGCTGAGACTGACCTGCAGCAGGACCAGCACCTGGCCTGGCACTCCCTTGGCACACATTCCATGGGCAGGAAAACGGGAACCTGGGCCAGGCAGCATACTGTCCACTGCTCTGCCACTCCCCATGGCACCCCATTCCTGTTCCTACAGCCTGGTCTGTCGCTCCTCACACTCCCCTGGGCACAGCTGGCCAGAGGAGCTGTCTGAAAGGCACGGCCAAGATACACCTCAGCCCACTGAAGTGTCTTCATGCCCGCAATGATGACTTTTTGTATATTGTCTCCACAGTCTTATACACAGAAGTCAAAGAACAGTGGACAGGCCATGTTTTAAAACTTTTAAAATTTTTAATTAAAAAACCCACGCAGTCTCAGGTTGGGCATGGAGAGGGTGGCATGTCATATGATGGGGTCTGGGTGGTCCCTTGGGGTGTGCTGAACGCTGCTTGGGTTTTCTTCCTGAGCCAGTGCTGTGGGAGCTGAAGATGCAGGGCTGGCCCTTTTCCCCTTCATGGGCCCCTTGGGCCAGGGGCTTGGGGGCTCTGTCTCTTGCACCTGCTGTGAGGGTCCATTCCAGAGCCACAAGCCACTCAGCGATGGGGGTATGGGAGAGAAAAGGTCTCTGGGGGTAATCACAGCTTGGGACGCCTCCTCCATGCAGCCCTCTCCCATTGCTCCCTGGGCCTCTTGAGCCTCAGGCAAGAAAACGGCCAGGACTGCTTGATCAGCAGCCCCTGGCTGCCCTGTTGGCCCAGGTCTAGGTCTGGTCAAGCTGTTGGAGCTGCCTCTCCACACAGGATGAGTTCTCAGGGAAGTCAGGCCATAGCAGGGTCCAGAGGGCACTCCCTTCTCAGAGCCCGGCCCAGGCGAGGCAACAGCTCTGACAGTGTGGAAATGAAACAAAGTCCTGAGTGAGCAACTCCCTCCTGCGAAGTTGATTCCAGAAAGAAAGGTGGGGGGCTTCCAGAGTCTCTGTCCCTGCTCCTGCCGCACCCCTGTTAGGGCTCTGGGGCTGTCCCACCGAATGACCGAGGGTTCCCTAGCGGGATGGCAGGCGGCCAGGGTCTTTACAAGGCCCGGCCTCCTGCCCTGTCAGGCTGGGAGCACGTGTGGGGAGCACTTCCCCCGTGGATCCGGGGTGCCGTCGACTGTGGCATCCTCCCTGTGCTGGCCTCTGCTCTCACTGGCCCAGCATAGAGGCCTTCTTACAGGCCACCGCTGAGACCAGGGCCGCGCCCCGGCCACTGCCCTCCTCCGACTCGATGAAGGTGATCTCGCAGCTGGGCGTCAGCCGGCGCACGCTGGCATGGAACCGATCCTTGAAGCTGGGCAGAAGAGAAGCAGGGCTGCCGTCCCTCCTCCCAGCCCATCCTCCACAGCCATCACCGGGCACCCTGAAGGCAGTCGACCCTTCCCCCAGATCTAGGTCAAGGGGGCCGAGAAGAGGCTTACGAATTCTTGGAGCTTGGGAGCCACAAGGAACCTCGGAGCGCGCGTTTTTTGGGCCCCACTTTACCAGGGAGGGGCCTGAGCGGGCTCACCTGGGGTGCAGCTTGTACACTGAGCCGTCCACGCCCACGGTGATGCGCATCACGTCCTCGCTACGGCTCTCCCGCATGCGGTTGATGACGCCCGCCAGCCCCGCCGAGCACATGTGCGCCGCGCGCGTAGACACGCTCTCACAGGCTCGGCGCACGATGTCGCAGTCGGTGGCCGAGGGTCGCAGCCCCAGCGTGCTCAGGATGTTGTAGATCTGCTTGCGGTCGCCCGTGTCGCTGCGGGGCGGGAGTAGGTAGGGCGATCGCTGAGTCTCGCTCCGCCAGTCTGTCCCCCTCCAGCGGCGGCCTCTCCTTCTCCAGGAAGGGGCCCCGGCCAGCCGTCCCCTAAGCAGCGGCCTCTTTCCCTGGCTGAGGCGGGGCCCCTCCATGGAGAAATGGGGGTGATCCTGCTCACCTCACCCAGCCGAAGCGTTTGGGGCTTGGGCTCCGGAGGAGAGCGGGTCCCGGTTAAGCCAGGGACCAGCAGTCACCTGGTCAGCACTACTTCCTCTAACTAAGCCCAGGGTCTCCGCTCTAACGTGGGATTGTCAACCATGCCGCGCCTCGGGGCTGTGCGTGAGGTGAGAGGGGGGTCCACGACGGATAGGGAGCGCCGCGGGGACTCACGGATGGGGCCCACTGCCGGGAAGCAGGCTCGCCTTCATGCCTGCTCTTGGCATCCCCGTCGGACCCCGCCTTCTGCCCTTGGGCCAGCCCTCTGCGCCGTGCCCTTGGACGCGTCCCTGCCCCGCCCTGCCTCGAGCGCCCCGCCTTGGGCCCCGCCCCGCCCCCTGCACCTCCCCACCTTGGGCCACGCCCACGCCTGCAATCCCGCTCCAGGCCATAATTTCCCGCCCCTACGTCCCTGGGCCTGGGACTCAGCCTCGTCCTAAGACCAAGTCTGCAGTGCCCTGGCGTCCCCAGCCCCTGCCCTTTGCACTGGTCCTACTCCTCCGCACACCTCTCCACCTGCGACACGAAGCGCGTCTCGAAGGCTCCGCGTGTGCGCAGCTGCTCCGAGGCCTCCCCGTGGAAGAGCAGGTTTTCGTCCACAAGCCTGAGCAGCACCAGCCGCACCAGCTCGCCCATGTACTTGCCGCCTATGAGCTTCTCATACCTGGACACAGGGCAGCTCCATTATATCAGCAGGCCCGAGGGAGGGCCCCTCGTGCAGGTGGAAGCCGGGAGCCGGCCCCACTGCTCCCCACTGAGGTCACGAGGCGGCCACGTGGGGCACCGTGATCCCTACTCCCCCATCCAGTCCACTTCTTTTCCACTATTAATGAGTCATAGCTTTTGAAACGTCAGGGATTAGGAACGTGCATGTTCAGCTCAATCACAGGAGCAACTTTGGCCTGCCCCTGGGCCCATTTGCAGTAATGGGAGACAGACAGCAAAGACCCTGTCCAGTCCCTCCAAAACCTTCCTTGCAGGGGTCCCTGCACCGAGCACAGGATCTATAGCTTCAGTCCTCCTTTAGGAGCTGAAGCTGCATCTGGAGCTGCTGTTCATTGGCCAGTTATGGTTGGGAAAACTAAGGCTTGGAGGGTTAGTGCCTGGTCGGAGGCAAGCAGCACGTTGCTGGCGTTTTCATGCTTAATCTATGACCCGTATTTAACTTAAATAAATGGAATACTACTGGCCTATAATAATAGAGCCCTGAGAGCGGCAGAGAGAGGACGCTAATAAAGTAATTAGCTCAGGCCTGGCACAGTAGGCGGTCAACAAGTGACAGCTATGATTAATGACGAGCTTTGTGTGGGCTAGTTTCCTGGCTGTGACTGCCCACCCGAAGCATTCCACAAAAGACTAATACTCTTTTTGTGAATGTGGCCAAATATATATTTTGGGGAACACTGGGTTAAACCCAGAAACCTTGCTGGGGGCATCTCAGAGCCTCCTCTATGCACAAGATCACCTGTCGGAAGGAGAGATCTGGGCTTATCAAATCACAACTGGTAACCCTTCACCTTTCACAGGGGCAGGTCATGACTGAGCAGAAGGGATGGAGCTTACGAAAGGATTGTCAGTTTGCTTTTCCCCAGAGTTGTTTAAAAACAAGCCCATTATCTGCAGTGGCCAGCTCCCATCTGCCGCTGTGCCAGAGCGGCCCAGGGCCTGGGCTGTGAGGGAGGGGGGGCATCCTTACAGCTGCTGACCGGGGTTTGCAGAGCTCTCGTCCACCAGGCGGTCATACTCCAGCAGGAACTCGTCCAGCTCGCCGGAATCCCCGAAGGCACCCCACTCGGTGTTGACGCACATGCGGCCCTCGTCCCCCTCCACCAGCTCCACGTTCTGCATCTCCTCCATGTAGCAGGCATTGCAGCCCGTGCCTGGGGTGGAGGTCGGGGGACTGTCAGCGAGAGCTGCACTGCCCTGGGGAGTCCCCTGGTAGGGCCTGGTTCCTGCCCACAGGACGCCCCCTCCTGCCCCCCATGCCTGACTCTTTGCTTTGCCTGGAGCAATGGAAAGGCAACTCTCCCTGGGGTGGAAGACCTGGATCGCCTCAGTGGCCAGGAACAGCTTTCTGGGCTGTCCTCTTCCCTATCAGGAAACAGTAACACCTTCCCTGCCTGTTACCTAGGTGGTTGGGAGGATTGAGGGGAGCAGCGTGTATCAAAGAAACGGATGTTGGATGTTATCATTTTCTTTTGTGTATGCACCAGCCTTGTTTTACAGCACTGCCAGTGCACATGTTTGAGCTTCCGTGTCCTCAGCCATGTTTGGATAGCACCCCGAAGTGAGTAAGGCATGATGTGGGCCCTTGGGAGCCTCCCAGAGGCTCCTGTGGGCAGGACCAGACGTGGAATTTTGTGATTTGCTGGCCCCTGTGCAGTGTGACAACATGGAGTCTTTTGTTCACAAGTTATTAAGAATTTCAAACTGGTGACAGCAGAGCCTCAAGCTAGCATGAATGTGTGGTCTGCACACCCCCAAAGCTGTCAGGGACAGCAACTATAATGCTGGTCAGCCAAGCTGCCATGCAGGAATCAGGGCTCAGTGATGCCCAGCCTTCCAGTTTGTTTATTTGGAGATACTCTGTCACCCAGGCCAGAATGCAGTGGCATAATCTTAGCTCACTGTAACCTCTGCCTCCCAGGTTCAAGTAATTCTCCTGCCTCAGTATCCTGAGTACCTGGGATTACAGGCATGCGCCATCACATCCAGCTAATTTTTGTATTTTTAGTAGAGACAGGGTTACACCTTGTTGGCCAGGCTGGTCTTGAACTGCTGACCTCAAGTGACTCGCCTGCCTCCGCCTCCCGAAGTGTTGGGATTACTGTTGTGAGCCACCTTGCCTGGCCACCTTCTAGCTTTTTGTAAACAAACAGAAATGTAGACTTTGATGTGAATTCTCCTAATTTTTAGATCTTGGTAATTGTTATAAACATGTTTTTAAACACTGAGCAGAGTCAAGAAGAGTGTATGTGGGGCAGATGTGAGCCACGGGTCACCCCTTGCCACCTCTGCCCCAGGAGGGGTTATGCCTGGGCCGAGCAGCTGCGGCTTGGCTTGGTGGGTATTCATGTGGAAGAGTCTTAGGGAGCTCCAGAGGAGAGGGCAGAAAGGGCTGGGGGAATCACAGCCAGGGATGACTGAGGCTCACATTTAGATGCTAGATTTAAAGACAATGTTCCTTCTGAAAGGGGAGAATGGAAGTAAGAGAAGTATAGAACCACACGCCCGTGCGCACAGCGGATAGCTGATCTGATTGGATTGCTCCTCACTGAAGGCTTATTATAATAACCTCTGGAACTTCTGAGAAAGATCCGAGTTGGTGGGGACGACCCCTCTGCTGGGAGGAGCAGGCTGCTGCTCCCTTTCCTAGTACCTGCCTTCACTTTGGGTGGCGGCAGGGGCAGGGGCAGGCCTGTGGAAAGACCATCTTTTGCTTATCCTCTTCCACTTGGACAAATCTGTCCAGTTGGTCAATTTACTAGATAAAGTGTTTTAATTATAATCCTGATGGGCCAGGTGGATGTGCATCTGGCATGCCATCTGATGCAGGAATGCGGCATCACAGCGTTGAAATGCTTCCTACTGTACACGGTCCTTCCATCTTGATACCCCAAGAGAACCCAGGATCCAGCACCAGGCCCTGCTCTGGTGTCACAGGTTGTTAAGTACTTTGGTCCTCACCCCACAGGGCTCCAGGAAGCCTGCTGTACACAGGGAGCCTCGGGAGTCTGGAAGGGGCAGGCGTGCAAGGAGCCCTTACCCACGATCATGCCGACCTCACACTGATGGTCTTCGTAGTAGCAGGAGATCATCGTGGCCACTGTGTCGTTCACCATCGCCACCACATCCATTTCGAAGTCCTGCCAAGAAGCACAGAGGCTGCAGTGCTGGGAGCCAAAGAGAAAGGCACGCAGTTGGGGGTGGGGGCCCAGGGCAACCCCCCTGGCAGGCACAGGTGCCCCCTCACCCCTCTCCGTTTGATAGCGTCTCGCAGAAGCCCCACGACGTTGTTCCCTTCTGCTCCTGAGGCCTTGAAGCCCTTGGTCCAGTTGAGAAGGATGCCCTGTGGGGAGAGGGAGGCCTTGTGGCTGCTGACATGTGCTGGGGCCAGGCTGGTATGGCCTGCCACCACCTCTGGCCCAGGGCCACTAGGGTATGCACCCTACTTTACAGCTGAGGAAACAGGCTCAGAGCAGCTCCGGAGCTTCGAGAGGTGTTGGGGACAATTCTCCATGAATAGCTCACATTTCCTCAGGGCTGAGTCCCAGCCAATTTAAGAATGTACTGCATAGCTCTGAGATGTTATCCCAGAGTCAAGGCAAGGCCTGGGGGGAGCAGCTCTGCGTAAGATCAGGATTTCCCTCCTGCAAGGCACCCCGCTGTCTGTGCAGGTGCCACCTGGCCCTCTCTGTGTCCCTGCAGAGACTGGGGCTTAGAAAAACCCATGAGATGTTGCTCTGGCTGCTGCTTCTGCTGTGAGTGAGGACTCGGCTTTCTCCCTGACCCAAAGGTCTCATGTTTTATGTGTGTGCATCTATAACTTTGTGTGTATGTGCGTGTGGTGTGTGCATAGATGTAACTGGCAGGCCACCTTTGTAGCTTGCAGGGAGGGTGGAATCTCAGTCACTTCACATTTCTGACTCAGCTAGAGGCGGTGTGGCATGACGGTGGCCTGCAGGTGAGCTGGAGCCCGGATGCCTGAGTTTGAGCCCCGCTCCACTGCCAGCTGCTCTTCCCACTGGAGTGAGGTGATATCAGCTGGTGCCTCACAGGGCCCAGAGCCAGAATCAGCCAATGTGATGGTCTTTTCCACAGCCTCAGAGGTGGCAGGTGACAGGGCTGCAATTTGAATCCAGATCTCCCTTCAGAGCATGGGCTGTGGGGGCTGCATTTGACAGCGGATTTCCTCTGGGGAAGCTGTGCCTCCCTCAGCTGCCTTCCGTCCCTCCACCCGGCCCACCTTGTCGATGTCTTCGTGCCTCACGGGAAAGGAGAAGGTGAAGCCTAGGGGCAGCTTCTTGTGCTTCATCTGATGCTTATCCAGGAAGTCGGAGATGCACTCGGAGATGTAGTCAAAGAGCTGGAAGATGCAGGCCACGGTGACCGTCAGGCGGGGGCGGGGGCGCTGGCCCGCAGCCCTCCCCTGGGCCTCATGCCATGCTCCTCCTCAGAGAGCATGAACCAGATGGTGCCACCGAATGCCAGGCCTGTTCGCAGTTTCCCTTTCCTCTTCTGCTGCTGCTTGTTGGGCTCAGGCCCTAAGGCTCTCCCATGCCAGAGACCTGCTGACAGTAGCCCCCGGGACAGGACAACACAGGGCAGGCTGGTCCCCTACCAGCTGTGCTCTGTCAGCCTAGCCCTCCCAGCTGAACCTTGTGAGGTTCAGTCTCAGGCCTGGCTGGCTGTTCCGGAGGCTCCAGACGGAGGCACATCCTTGATTTCTGTCTCTAGCACCCAGAGTCTCCTTTCCTACTTCCAGGCGTCCTGGCCACCCAGCCCTGCTGAAGGCCAGTCCCGACTCTGCTTGCACGGGCCGCACCATGGAATTGGGCACTGCTGAATGCTCTGCTGACTGACCAGGCTTCCCGCTGGCTGCTGGGGCCAGGGAGGTCCCCACGCCATCCCCATGAATCCATGCCTTGATTCATGCCCAGCCCCCGAACAGACTAGCAAGCCATAGGGGCGTGAGGATTGGCGGCCACAGGCAGCCCCCTGCTCAGAGCCTGGCCCCTCCGGGAACCAGCTTTGGCCATGTGCTTGGCTGCAGCCAGGTGCTTTGGCCTTGCCCGCCTCCCGTCAGGCCTCATTCTGTGTCCCCCACACCTTAGTCCTCCCCATGGTCAGGGGTCCTTGCTACCTGGGCAGACATTGTGATTGCTGTCACCCCACTTTCTGTGCATGCTGGCGGAGGGCGAGGGGTGGCCCTTGGGGAGGGGTGGAGTGCACCGGCTCCTTCCACTAACCTCTCCTCAGCCCATTCCCTCAACACTGGCCAGATGGCGATTGTGGGACTTCGGGACTCCTCGTGGGACTTGGCCGCTCCTGTTCACTGAGGCCTCCAGCTGCCTCTGAAGCTGGGTGGTCCTCCAGCCCCAGCTCTCCCCACCCCGGACGGACGGATGGGACTTCCCGTCAGGACTGGCCGGGCCCTGAGATCCTGCATGGCCTTGGCACCCCTTGCTCCAGCCCCTGCGGTGCTCACCATCTCAGCAGTGCCGGTCATGGCGTCCTCGGGGATGGAGTACATCTGGTGTTTGGTCTTCACGCTCCACTGCCCCTCCTCACCTTCTCCCACCTTCACCAGCATTACCCTGAAGTTGGTGCCACCCAGGTCCAGAGAGAGGAAGTCCCCGACTTCTACAGGCACAGAGAGAAGCGTGTCAGCCTCAGGGGCACACACAGGCTGGCCTTGGGTGGGGTGGGCCCCGGGTGACTGATCCTAGGTACTGCAGAGAGGAGGAGGGAAGGCACAAGGGGACCAAGGGAGCTGGCCGAGGGGCCCCCCACCGGGCACCTGGGAACACCAGTGCCAACGTGGAGGGGCAAAGCTCAGCCAGAGAAAAGTCAATGGGAAACTCCTGCCCTGGGCAGAGTCACCGAGAGCCCAGGGACCAGCTGAGGACCTGGTGCACTGGCCCAGCTGCAGAACTGGGCTAGGGGTTCCCTGAGTGCCCTAATGGGGCAGTGAGGTTTTTTTTTTGTGTGTTTTTTTTTTTTTTTTTTTTTTTTTTTTTTTGAGATGGAGTCTCACTCTGTCACCCAGGCTAGAGTGCAGTGGCTCGATCTCGGCTCACTGCAACCTCCGCCTCCCAGGTTCAAGTGATTCTCCTGCCTCAGCCTCCTGAGTAACTGGGACTACAGGCATGCCCCACCACGCCCAGCTACTTTTTGTATTTTTGGTAGAGACAGGGTTTCACCATGTTGGCCAGGCTGGTCTCAAACTCCTGAGCCTTGAGATCTGCCCGCCTTGGCCTCCCAAAGTGCTGAAATTACAGGTGTGAGCCACTGCACAGGCTTTTAAAAAACTGGCTTTAAAAAGCCAGTTTTCCTGAGGCTTGCTGGCTCCAGGGTGAGCCAGAGTGCCGCAGGGCTGAACCAGAGGAGTGCAGGTGTGAGCTATTTTCACAGGTCAGTACTTCATTGCTCCCCAGGAGGTCTGTCTTGGGCTGGCTGCCAGTCTGGAGGTGCCTGGGGCACTCCTCCCAGCTAGGGCTGAGCCCATAGCTGCGTCTGGATGAGGAGCCAGTTCCGGGTGGTACCTGAGCCTTCTGGGGTGGAGCGCACATAGGTGGGCAGCATCTTCACACTGGCCTCCTCATGGGTCTCCAGCCTCAGGCCACGGTCCATCTCCTTCTGCATCCGCCTCATCACCTTTTTCAGGTCCTCCTCCTGCAGCTGGAACTCTGCCAGGATCTGCTCCACCTGCATGGGGAGGGGGATGGGAGCAGCCGGACTGGGGAGGGTGTAGGCTGGGGACCTCGGAGGGGCTGTCATCAGGCACCCACATGCGGAGGGCCTCACGGGGCATTTCCTGCACACACCGTGGGTCTCCTTCCATCCTCTAACCCCTGCTTTAGAGTGACCTATCATCTCAAACTTTATGACACGTAAAACCAGATGGAAAGTCAGAAGAGCGGAGTCCAGGACCAGCGGCTCAGCAAATACAGCCCAGGGCGTGTTGGCGGTGTGAGCCGCAGAGGGCAGAGTGGCTTCTGTCCCTGATGATATCCCTGTGGCACAGCACCTGTGGCACCCCCTTCATCCCTCAGGTTGGGGTCAGGGAAAGGATGGGCTAACTGGGAGAGTTGGCAAAGTTGGGGCTTGAGCCAGCTGTCCGGAGGGTGCCAGGCAGCTGGCATTGCTGTCAGAGAGATCTGGCCCACTGACTTCTGGGATTTACACCAGAAAATAAATGGGCCAGCCTGCACACATGGGTTAAGGACCAGCCAGGGGTGAGTATGAACGTCTAGGAGGAGGTGTCTGCTACCAAAACCATCTGTGAAATGGGGACAGTAGGCCACAGAAGGAAGAGGGTCCCTATGCACTGACATGAGAGACGCTTGAGCACACAAAGTTCAGATCCAATCTGCCACTCCTGTAAGCATGGACGGCCCGTGGTGTGGCCGCTTGCTCTCCACCCGGCAGAGTGAGGACAGGCTGTGAATGTAGCTGTGGCTGTGCCCATGCATCCCCGGCAAGCTGGAGTGTGGACAGCTATGTGTCTGTCCCCCTGGGCACTCTAGTGCTATTCATGGAGAAAAAGCCATGTTAATTCGATGGTTATCTCTGGGCAGTGGCAAGAAAAATAATCATAAGGATATTTTCATCTTGAACCAAAAAGAAGGAAAGATGCGCTAATAAAAGCTATGGATCTGTTCCACAAAAATACACTCTTACACATAAGCTCGAGGGGTTGGAGATGCTCTGAATCCCAGCTGGGAGGCAACATGGCCATTTTCCTCTGCTTCCTCAGTTTTTAGAACTCAGATTTTGTTGGTGGGGGGAGCACGTTGCACCATGATTAGTCTAAGGTAGGCACAGAAATTCTATCCTCCTCTTATTGATGATTGGTTTAGAGTTGGGCATGTCACCCAGTTCTGGCCAATGACAGGTGAAGGGAAGCCTGATTTTAGCAGGGGGAGGAGCTTCACTGTTTCCCCAAATTTGTAAACACAGCTGTGTAAGGATGTAATGACCAGCACTGTGACAGTCTCCCTGTAACCATGAGGAAACAAGGCCGGAGGTTAAAGCCGTCAGCAAACTGTGAATACAGGGAAGAGAGAGTAATGCCAGACCCACCTTCCACAGGCAGGTTATGGGAGCATGAGGATCACTTATGCCACAGCGAGTCAGGTGTTTGGTTTCCTGCAGCCCAAAGCATTCCTAATAGATCCCGATCTTTAGTTAAGAACCATCTCTTAATCAGGCCCCGCTTGTCAAATTTAAACCCAGGCAAGGTCAGAGATGGATGGGGCTGATAAAGTCTGTGTCAAAAGGCACAGAATCAAACACCGGAGTTGGCTGAGCCGGCGCCGTTTTGCAGCTCTGAGCATGGGACGGGAGTGCAAGCTTTCCCCAACCCCCAATCCTCCAGCCCTCCAACCCAACTGTCCCTGCGGAGCACACCCCTGGAGCACACCCCTGTTCCACACTCAGGGCTCTGTGGAACAATCCAGGCTGTCCTCAGTGCCCCATAACTACAACCTTTGCCTCCTCTGTATTTGTTTCCTACACCCACCAATGTAGAGGATGCCGGGAACTACCTGTGAGGGCATCTACCATTTGCTGAATTCCTCTATATGCCAGGCCTTGCACCAGGTGCATCACATAGCAGCCTCACACCCTGTGCCCTGTCACCACAGCACTGGGGAGGAGGTGCCAGCAGCACCCAACTTGCAGATGAAGAAAGGCTTACAGAAATCACTTGTGCAGCCACGGGCAGCCAGCACGCCATGGCGAGGCCAGCTCCCAAATCCATGCACACAGCGCTACTGGCAGGAACTCCTGGGGAACCCTCCAGACGAGACTGTTCAGAGGGACCTGTGGGCTCCCAACAAAAGGGATGCTGCTCTTGCAAAGGCCCAGCCCTCATGCCTGCCTGGCATCACCCTTGAACCTCTCTCCAGATGGCTTATCTTGGTGGCCACAGACCTGGACTCTGGTCTCTTGGCCGCAGGCTCTTCATGTGAGGAGCCAACATTTCAGTCTGAGGTTTTGGCGGAGGAAAAGTGGCATGGAGCCTGTGACCAGGCGGCTGATCACAGTGTGGCTGTATTGTCAGACAGTTGGGGCCCTTGAGGGACCCTCCCTTGCAGGGCTGTGGGGGACCTCACACTTCTCCCCACCAGCACTTGGAGGACAGGGACAGCCAGATACATGGGAGCTGTTGTTGCTCTTATCACATGTTGGGAGGCCGGGCCCTGCAGGCTGTCGGGGAGGCTCAAGTCTTCCGCCTCTGTATCCAGGCCCGCAAGTGGCCCTGCCACTGACTAGGTGAAATCCTAGCTCTGCTGGCTTCTAGGCCAGAAAGTTTTTCCCGGGGAATCCTGGGATTGCATGAAGTCAAACTGATACCATCTGTTCAGAGGGCAATTTGGAGTTTCTCTCAGTTTAACTTTAATCTGACAGTTTCTCTCCTAAGAATCTGTTCTGCAGCCAGAGGGTTGTGGGCATTTCCAAGATGCACAGTGGGGTGTCCCCTTGCTGCAACAGTGAGGACCCCCATATTCACCAGCGAGGGCTTTAAATCAGCACCGGGACGCTTCCCGCAGGGCCTCCTGTGGCCTTTCCCATGAAGGACACGTAAAGGCATAAGTGAAAACGTGAGACGGGACCTGAGGTAGGACCTCATCCCATTTCTGTAAATAAAGTTGCATCTGGCCTGCGAATCTGATTTGTCCTGTATAATATCCTCAAAAGCTTAAATTTGCTGCCACCACTTAAAATCTATTTAAAATAGAGACACTTTTACACAAAAATCTGGATTTCTGTAAAAGTAGGTCTGCACTCTTTGTGGGGCTGCAGGGAGGCAGGGGACGTGGGGTCAGGGAGCCTGTCTCTCCACAGTGGCAGAACTGGCCAGGGTCTCCTGGCACAGGGCTCTCAACTGTGCCCTGCCCTAACTAGCTGCTGCAGGGTTCCTGCATTGTCCACATCGCAGGGCCTGTGAGAACCCCCCCCGCCAACACTTCCCAGTGGGCATGGGTTGGAGGATGGGTGCAGTAAGGTTCTGAGGCTACAGTTACCAGCAGACCTGGGGGGGTCACCTCTCATGTGGGGAGCATCCTCCAAAGGTGAGCCTCGTTCTTGGTGGGAGCAAGCCCCTTCTTCAGGGTGCATCTGGGCCTCAGAAGTCCCCCTTCTGCCACTTGGTGATCATGCAACCCGAGGAGGAAGCGCTGACCCAGCTTGGTCTCACAAGCCTGGGGGTCATGTTGTGGGGCCAAGGTCAGCCTCACAGACTCCCAGGACAAGCCCAGTGGCAGGGACCGAGGCTGATGCACAAACACTTCCCTGTGCCAGACCCGCTCTGGGCGCCCCTCCCTATCATTGCTACAGCAAGCTTGGGACATGGATACTGGTATTATCTCCATTTTTTATAGGTGAGGAAATTGGACACAGAAGTGCAAACCCTTTCCCAAGCCCGCAGAGCCAGACACTGGCTCCCAACTTTCCTCTCACCCAGCCCAGCTGCACCCTTCAGTCCCAGCACAAGCTGTTCCTGGTGCCCAGACCCCAGCGACCGGTGTCTCTCTGGCGAGCCTGATGCTGGGTATCTGTGCAAGCTTACAGGGCTTTCCCAGGCAGTCAGGAAATGTGGTGGTGCCTGGGGAGCCCCAAGATGCTGCCTGGCCGCTCCCCGAGTGTCACCTTGGAAGAAGCGCACAGACAGAGCCTGTCCCTCCCCCTGGCAGCCTCTGGGAGGCAGCCCCAGCCGGCTTGCAGAGGTTTCTCTTGCTGACCTTGCCCGAGAGGTCACAGGACACAAAATCAGGGCCCATGGCCAAATGTACAACTTTTCTTGCCTGAAGACATCCCACACTCCCTGCAGGGTATCTGACCCTCATCTCTTCAGCGATGCCCACCAAATGCCAGGAGCAGTGAGGGCACAGAAGCAGAGGCCGCAGCTAAACAAGCCTCTCTCAAGGGTGGGGATTGGCAGGAGAGCACTTAGTCAAGCTGGGGACAGGTTGCGGGGTAAAGGAATGGGGGCAGATGAAGCAGGACGAGGTCGGGCAGCTGCTACCAGGAGATGGGGGCAGGAGACCTGCACTGAGGCTGGAGCAGAGCGGGGAGGCTGAGCTGTGAGCAGCAAAAGGTGGGAGGCCTGGGGGAGCTGGGCTGCAGAGCAGGGGCATCTTGGGGCAGGGTTGAAGCGGGGTGTCAGTCTGTCTGAACAACCCCTGTGCAGGGACGGTGGGCACAGGCTTGGTGAGAGGGTAAGAGTCTAGACTCTGAAGGGAGGAGCTGAGGAGAAGAACAGGAGGGCCTGGGAAGAAAAGGTTCCACCCGATCTGGGAGTTGGGTTGTGGGAGTCGGGATCTTGCTGGGCGCGTGTTAACACATCTGCCAGCCAAGGGGTGATTTGTTCCAAGTAGCAGTTGGCTATGTGAGGCCAGAGTTCAGTAGAAAGTCGGGCTGGAGAGGTAGATGTGGAGACAGTCCGGCCTGGACATGGCCACCAGGGTGTACAGGTTGGACAGCAGTGGGAGAGGCGGAGCTGGTCGGGCAGGGCTGCCGGGGCAGGATGCCGTCTCTTTTACACAGCTGGCTGTGCTTTGTGGCGCCACCTCCAGAATGCAGTAAAAAAGGCAGGATGCTTTCTAGTGCCACCTTTGGCAGATGTAGACTGGGAAGCTGCCTATTCCAGCACTGGGGGCGGGGTGGGGGGCTAGCTGGTGGAGCTGTGGGCCCCCAGGACACAGCCAAGGATTAGGGCAGTCCCTGGACAAATGCTACAGGCCAGTGGGCTCCAAAGACCCTCCCAGTGCCACATGTCCAGCTGTAGCCTGGCCCCCTCCATTCCCAGGACCTCAGGTGGTTATGTACCTAGTAGTGAGTGACTTTGGGCTAGTCCCCACATTCTCCTGAGGGACAGACTCTCACATCCACCAAGCCCTGGAAATGCCATGCAGATTCCCCAGAGAGCCAGACAGCTGGCTCCCCACATAAAAGCCCCAGGCCAGGCCCCAGACACTAGTGTCCTGGGTCACTGTTAGTTCCAGGAGCAAGTGCCCAAGAGCCCCTGGAGAGGCTGGACAGTGGGCTGCCACAGTGAAGATGGTGGGGAGGGGCCAGTGGCAGGCACAGCTGCTCTAGCCAGGACCCCCGAGGATCGTGTGCCTCCTTCCAAGGCACCCAGAGCCTGCTCACCTTCCCTGCCCCCAGCCTTGGTTTTGGTAATCTGCAAAACCAAGGGCCCTCCCCTGGGGGCTGCTTTCCCAATGCAAAGTCCTTGGCTTTGATGTGACCCTTACCAGAGTCAAGACTGTCTGGTCCTGGTTCTTTGTGACATCCATGGCCATCTCTCTGAGGTACTAAGAGGTAGATGTTTGCGAGGCAGAGATGCTCCTGCCTGCCGAGGTCTAGCACATGCTGCAGCCTTGGAGCCTAAGGCCTGCCTGTGGCGGCAGTGGCTGCCTGCATGGAGAGCTGCCTGATGCCAGCAGCCCAGGGTTTCTGTACCGAATGGGCTCAGCCAGTGGCTGCTGAAATACTCTGTCTCCTGCCATGGTGTCAGAGGCAGGGCCAGAAGGGGAGGGGAGGCCCACGTGGGGTCAGAGTCCACAGCGCCATGGGGACAGAGCCAGGGGGCAGCCAGCCACTCTCTGTGAACATCTGGTTGGGATTGCTGCCCGGCGGGAGAAGGTGTGCAGAGCCAGCCCACTTATCTTCCGTTCCTCAGCCTTGTGCGGGCAGGAAGTCACCAGGCCCTCCTGGGACAGAGCACTTACTGAAATGCCCTTGGACAGGGGGAGGGTTCTAAGGGGGCCTGGCCCATGCCAGCGCAGGTCTGGACTTGCTCTTGGAGGCAAGGGGATCCCCAGTGGCTTTTCATCTGCAGAGGGGTTTGATTTGCATTTCACATAATCCGGGAGTCTGTATGGCACTTGGGGAAAGGGTGGTGGAGGAAGATGCCCAACTGACCAAAAAACAAACAAAAAACCGGGCTATCATTCTTAGTTTTTTGACTGCAAAGTCCCAGCTTTGGCTTGCTTTAGGTGCCTCCATGGGCAGAGACCATGACACCCAGGCTCTAGTCCAGGCCCCTCCTTGGTCTCACGGAGTGACATCCACATGCCATGTACTTGCTGGCACCTGCCAAAGCCTGCTAAAATTAGCTGGAGCTGGCAAGTGGGTCAGGGTACGGAGGGTGCCTTGTCAGAACGCCAGGTCTCCTGCCAATGGCAGGAGTGGTCATTCCCAAGAAAGCCCTTGATACAATTGATCCCTTTCCCAAAATAGAGCAGAGATGTCCTCATCAGACCTCATGTGGCAGGCCACTGACCCCCATAGACCCCAGCTCTGAGCTACTGTTTGCTCATGGGGGCAGGGCTCACACCCACATTTGGAGTGGCACTGGGGCCTTCTGGTTCAGCCAGGCCAAGGAGCAACTACCCAGCGAGACTGGCCTTTCTCCTGGGCCAAGCACACAGCACAGCGGAGGAGAATCTAAATTCTCTTCTCAAGAAAGGCTGAGGATGTGTACGAAGGCTGAAGCCAAGGCAAGTGGGCCCCCTTCCTGGGTTGGCTGAATTGCTAATGCCCTCTCTAGCCTATATATTGAGCAACAGGCCCTCCCTAGAGTTTCTTTCTGGGGGCCACCTGCTGATGTTCATTGGCATCCGTGAGGGCAGAAAGGGCAGCAGCACCTCCACTTCCCCATACTGGCTAATTCTCCAGGACCAGATTCTCATGACTCATGCCAGCCCCCCTGGGTGCCCACCCTTGTCCTGTCTCAATGCTTCCTCTTCAGGTGAAGGGGAGACACCAACAGGCCTGCACCGCACTGGAACTGAGGGTCAGTGTAGCAGGAACAGTTCCTGCTTTCCAGGAATTTTGGAAAGGCAAGCCTGTCCAGAACCTGTCCAGAGAAGTGGGACCAGGAAGGGGAGGGCCTCAGAGATGATGGCTCGTGGAGGATGTTCAGGACATGCTTAGAGTCTTCAGTAGCTCAAGGGCTGTCCCGAGGAGGATGGACGAATATTATTTTTGCTTAGAGCTTTCTAAAAAGACAGAACTGTGCAGCTCTGAAGTAGGAAATCTCAGTAGATAGTGAACTCTCCATTTAATGAGGAGAGAAAGAGAAGAACAGAGTCAGAAGGGACCCTGATCTCTGTCTCGGAGGTACCCCTATTTATTAGTTGCTCAGGTTTCTGCTTGACAGGCATGACTTGATTTTCTTTTTCATTTATCACAAGCAAATAATATGACAGGTTTGGTGATGGATATTCAAGATTATTAATTCTAGTATCAAAAAATGAGACACAACCCACATATCCAACTACAGGAGGCTGGTTAAATAAATTATGCTACACTTATATGTAGTCATTAAAAATGGTAAGATTCATCTGCTCCTATTGGCATGGAAAGATGTTCATGACATACTGTTGAAAGGGAATGTGTAGTCACCCTTGAAGCTGGCCTTCAATTTGCCCTGCTTCTGGTATTCACACCATGGTATAGTCCCTTCTCGTGCAGAATAGGTCTAGCCAGTGTAACTAATATGATAATACAGAAATGGTGGAATGTGACTTCAGAGGCTAAGCCAGAAAAGACTGTGGCTTCTGCCTTGTTCTCTCCTGGACTGTTCCTTCTGGGGGAAGCCAACTGCTATGTTATAGGGATGCACACAGGAACTCTGGGAGGATCCATTGAGAAGAAGTGAGTCCTCCTGCCAATAGGCGGCTTCAACTTGCTAACCATGTGAGTGGACCACCTTGGAGGCAGATCCTCCAGCCCCAGTCAAGCCATCAGATGATGCAGCTCCAGCCAACACCTTGACTGCAGCCTGAGGAGAGACACCAAGACAGACCACCCAGCTAAGCTGCTTCTGAATTCCTGACCTGCAGAAACTGTGTGAGATAACAAAGTTTTGTTGTTTCAACCTACTATGTTTTTGTTGTTGTTGTTGTTTTGCTACTATGGTTTTTTAAAAAAGCATTTTATAAAATAAAATTTTATTATTACAGGACAAATAAGTTTAGAAACGATTTTCTATCTTTTAGCGTATGGTCCTGATACAGGACAGTGTCATACCACATTCCTGTCATCATAATACATGGAAAGGTGAAGCCACTAAGTTTTGAGGCAGTTTGTATACAGCAATAGATGACTAACATGGGGGAAAAACAGGAAACATAGTAGGATCCATTTTTGTCATATATATGCATATATATTATATAGATAATACACATGTTGGAGGAAATAGAACACATGATAATAATGATCTTGATGGTGGTATAAGTGATTTTAATTTATTTCCCTTTTTGCTTATCTGTATTTCCCACATTTTCTGCAGTAAATGTGTATTAATGAAGCAATATATAACAATCAAGTTAAAAAAAGAAAGGTTAAGCCTTATCTGCCATTTTGCACAGAAGCTTGGAGACCCAGACTCTAAAGAATAGAGGTTCACACTTAAATGAGTCAAACTGGTAGACCTCATAGGCCACTGGGAAAGATAGTGGGAGCCAGAAAGCCAGGGAACCCAAAGTATTTCACCACTGGCCTGTTCCCTGACACCCTCAGTACCAGCTGGGCACCAAGTGTGGGCACGCTGATGCAACCGGGCCTGGAGGTCAGCTCGATGTTGCAAGTGTTTGCTTACAGCAGGGTAGACTTGAGACTGGCTGTGCTCTTGTGCTAAGGGGCAGGCCGAGGGCCTGGTGAGTGGGAGGGGGTTAGGCAGTGGGTTGTGGCCAGGACGTCAGGGAGAGAGGCCAGGGGAGAAGAACCATGAGACAGCAAAGCATGCCAGGATGAAATGACCACAACTGGTGTGTGTTCTGTGGCTTCCACATGTCAGGGGAATGTCCTAGACCCTTTATATGGATTGAAACTGGCCTGTGAGCTGAAAGCTGTCATTTTATATGCAGGGAAACTGAAGCCCATGGGAGTTAAGGGGCTTACTAGGATGCAACAGCTATAAGCAACTTGGCTAAGATTCACCCCTAGGTCACTCTGACTTCAAGATTCTTAAGAGTTTGGTCTTCTTGACTAGATGGGGAGAGCTTCAGGGTCAAGCATATGCTGGGGGACAGGAAATATCTTTTGGGGCTTCTTCTTGCTGGAGATGATCAGAGGCTTCAGCTGAAGCCTGTGGAGGTGGACACAATGGTAGCCACAGAGGTTGGTTCTGCCCCAGTGTTTGCCTCTGATAACAGATAGAATGGAGGAAGGTTTGGGACTGTGTGTCAGGGATAAAGCCTGAGGCCAGCACTGTTGGGGGAGAAGGGCAGAGCATGAGTGAGGGTGCAGGGAATAGTCCTCTGCATTGCCCAGGGAGAGGGTAGGAGAATCATCCAAGACCTTGTGCTGAGAGGCAGGATAACACTGGGGTAGCACAGAACTGTGAGGTCTCCAGCTTGAGTCTGAAGACTGGCTTTGCCACTCAATGGGTTTAGGGCCTTGGACAAATTCCTTAATGTTTCTAGGTCTCAGTAAGAGGCAAGTAACAATTCTACTACCTCACAGGACTATTGAGAAGATTCAATGATATGATGCAGATAAGGCTTTTGACACATATAAGTTGTTCAATAGTTTGTAGCCGTTGTTGCTACCAAAAGATTTTAGCCCTTGGGTCAGCATTTAAGACATGGGCTGTCCCCAGCTCTTGATTTATGGCAGATCTAATGCCAAACTCCTACCCCAATGCATACTGATTATTTCAGTGTGCTGAAAAGGAGATAGATTAGGTGGCATGGTCTCTTTGATGCTAGTTCTACAGTAAATCAATGACGCTGTTTGTCTGAAAAGATAATTACTAGGGAATCATGTCATGGAACTGACAAAGTAGGGAACTTCAGGAATTGGTTCCTCTATCTAAACAAACATTATATTAGGAACGAAAAACATCCTGTAAGAGTCAACTATTTCAGAATTCTGGAACGTGACTGGACACTTGCAGCAACCATGGGAGTAGTGGATGAAGGGAGAGACATGCTGATGGCTCATAAGTGAGTGGTGTGGGCAAACCAGCTACCATCCTGAATTCTTCAACATTTCTGTGGCCACGGGGACAGTAATTGTGTTCCTAGAGCAGCTGGCTGGAGCAGGGGTTGGCGGAAAGGATTTTGTCTTCCAGAAATTTGTAGAACCAAATGTCTTGTGTTTATCTGGTGGTTCCCTGAGGGTTCAGAGTAGAGCTTGCCTTTGTTTCTGTCCCCTCAGGCAGCAGCAGCCTTCCTGGTGGCATCCATCGATTTTTAAAAAGGTACACGCTAGGTTTTTTGTTTCTTGGGTTTAAAAAAAAATCTATGCATTTAAGGAATACTCTTCCAGGTCATAGGCTGACTGCAGAGACACCAGAAGAGAAACATCAGTGACCAAACACAACAAAGAATACATACTTTGCAAAAATACGAATGGACAACTGCAGCCCTTAACAAACAACAAAACCAATCTCAAAGGAGGGGGAGAATCTGGCTTCCAGAATTACCACATTATACTATTCAAAATGTCCA